CCGGCGGCTCGCCCTAAGCGCCTGCCACGCGCTGGGTAGGCCAACCCGCCATGCAGCTGTGTGGAGCCGGCGGCTCGCCTTAAGCGCCTGCCGCAGGAATACGGACCAGATACGGTGACTGAATACCGGCCCCCCTGCACCGCGCCCGCTCCCCCCGCTGGCCCTGCGCGCGCCCCCCACCACCATTTTTCGTTCCTCCGCCTCCACACCGTCCACCTCGCCGTGCTTACCGTTCTTACTGAGTCTCTTCCTCCCTTCGTCCTGCGCTGCATCGCCCCCCCCCCCTCCCCACTCGTCCACTCGTCTACAGCCTGCGCGCTGCTCCTTCTCGGCGGCGTCAATTTGTCACTCAGCTGATTCGCAAAACGAAACGCAATGAATTACGCGGCAGAACTCACGCGGATTAAATTTTCAAGAAAATTGTAATCTCAAATTATAATTGCAGTTGTTAATTTACGATAGCACATTTTTTACTTGACAATGCATTTTAAGTCAATACGTACTGCATGTATTGTTACGATTACAAACTGTTGTAATTTTACAACTTACGTCAAGGAAAATTTTTCTGTGAACCTTACTTTTTTTCACAGCGTATCCTCGAGGAAAGGCAAAACCCTGGTTTCGATATTGCCCCCAAAGCGATGCCCAGTCTCTTGCATTTGGTGTGCAACTTGGTGTTAACTTTCTACATTTGTTTTCTCAGTGAACCTCCCACCCTTGCCCACTGCCCTTTCGCGACTAAGACGATGCACGTTCGGCACCGGTTTGGTTTTAATAAGTGCACTATTGACGTCCACCCCTGGCGCTTAACCAACCCTGCACCTCTGGCACAACGAGTGCCTCGAAGAGCCCTTGCTGTGGCCCCACAAATTTGCTTCTATTCCCCCTTTTAACTGTTTTAAAAATGCTCCCTGTGAGCTGAAATGACCCGCCTGAAAGGTAGGCAATAGACAGAACAGTGCTGAGCACGTGCCAGTCTTGACTTGTAAGAACGGATGGGCGCGCGCTTCCTCCCTTACGGATAGGCCATGCTGGTGGCTGCTGGCTGGAGCTTGCTTGGCGCGGGGACGAAGGATGGGGATGGAAGGGAGAAGAGGAGGAAGTGTGAGAAGAAGGACGCGCCGATCGCAGTGGCGACTCCAGCGGAGGTGGTGGGGGGCGTGCGCAGGGCCAGCGGGGGGAGCGGGCGCGGTGTGGGGGGGCCGGTATTCAGTCACCGTATCTGGTCCGTATTCCTGCGCGCCTGCCACGCGCTGGGTAGGCCAACCCGCCAAGCAGCTGTGTGGAGCCGGCGGCTCGCCCTAGCGAGGGTGGGCGCCAAGCAAGCGCATGACCGCGGTGGGAGCGACAGACGTCCCTTGTCGTAGCTAAACAGTTGTAGCTACTAGCGAAAGATAACATCTGATGAGATGGCTGTTGTCGGTAGTTTCGGTTAAAATAGTGGTAGACACATTTATTTTAATAACTGTTTTACATGATCTGAGATTATATTTATTTTCGTCACGTTGAAACACTTACGGGACAGCCGCCATGACAGTATGGCGCCACAACAACATGACAACTCTAAAACAAAGTGTAAACTGGTTTCTAGAGGTAACAATATTGTTTTTACAACGTAGAAACACATTAAAAAGTTGCATTCTTTGAGCGGAAGTTTCATTATTAGCAGCAATTAAAATTTTAATCACTTTTATTTGTAAGTCAATTTTTTGTCGATGTATTGTCGCTCTTGAAATTTCACTGCAGACCACTCGTATGCGGAAGTTTGCAACGGTCAGTATGGCCGCTTTGTGAGTTAAGGAAAGTCAATTTAGGACCGACACAGCCAACAACCGACACGGCCACTGTCGGCTTTAACAGAACCGACTGTAGAAATAAGTGCGCTCGGCGGCGCTCGGCGTCGCAAATGCTCCCTCTACTCTCCACACCCGGACAAAAAAATGGGAGAGTAAGTGCTTCTTTCATCCCACCGCAGTCGTTGGCGACTTCTGTGATCGCAGGAACAGCCACTTCCTTCCGCAGTGGTCAGAACGTCAGATCACACTCCCGGGGTTGTGAGACGGTTGACGGGTACGTTGGTTAAACTGTAGGGGAACTCCCACGGCCCGCTTTCGCTGAGTCGAACCCCAGTTCCAGAGGCAAGTCACATGCCACCTTCGACGCAGTGTCACCAGGGCGTCATGACGGTAACCACTACGACGTCGGACCTCCGCGAGGGGAACGTGGTGAAATGACAGGTTTGAAGTCCATTTGAATTTTGGTGGCCCGAGAAAAATTTCAGATCGGCGGAGATTCGGCCGATTTCCCATGCTCTGGGCGGGCTAGGGGCGCGGCGCGGACGACCGCCGGAGCCGGCGCCGGAGGTGGTGCAAACCAGTTCAAACCGATTCCTGGTCATTCCACTCTCCGGTTTGAGAAATTTTCACGTTCTATCCGCGATATAGCCTCGCTAACGGTTTCTTCGTGAACTAATAGAGGAACACACCGGAAGCGGAAGTTTGCGAGTGGGCGGTGCATTGCAGAACGGTGGCGGTGGATGTGAATATGTTGTGAATGTAGATTGTGATTGACGTGCAGATGACATGTTTACATTTCTTTCAAAAACATTATGTTAAAATGTTCTTGAGCTCAGTCCATTGAACGACCAATTCCTTCATCGTTAAATAGTAAGTTTCATGCTAGTTTCGTGAAACTTTGTTTAATTTCCCGACCTTCCTTTGACGGTTTTCGAGGTGTTGGACAACAAGTGAGCTTCCTCCATTTCAAAACAAACAGAATTTTCTGTCACTAACTCTTTGAAAAAGGTTAATTTGTGCAGTATTTTTAATATTTCGCCACACTTGGAACTCATTGTTAGTCCGATAAATTCTATTTCTAATTTTCATCAGTATCTTCTTACTGTGTCGCCGATCATCCAGATCATGTCTGGCTCAACCTTTTCTACTGTCATATATTAACGTTCACTGCCCCAAATTTTCTTTTATTAACCCTCTTTTCGGCACATTTTTTCTCTCATTTGTTGAGCATTGAGTTAGTCACATAACTTATGAATAGAACGTAGGCGCTGTTATAGGTTATGTTTATTGGTGTTGTGTCATGTTTGTTTTTAAAGTGAGCTTATTTGTGTTGTGGTTTGTTTTAAGTTTGCTTTGTGGCCTCTTGTTATACGTAGTAACTCATGGTTTTCTGCCATTTCTAGTGAGTTCAACGTCTGGTATGAACAGTACAAATTCTGTCTCGAGCAGAAATGGTTCTGTTGCACCTCGTCCGTCAGTCTCTTCAAGTAGCAGCAGTGGTGGTGCAATGCCTAAAGTGAAGTTAAGAAAAAAAATTCCCATTCACCCTAATAGTTTTTCACTTCCGATGGGGCAGTTGCCCTATCAAGTTGATTCTCAAACTTCACACCATCAATTTGTGCCACCGATTCATCAGCATATTCCAACAAATGGCCAGTTTCCGAACACCAGTAACGGCAATTCTAGCCAAATAAATGCTAATGGACTTCCACTGTCGTCAGGGTGTAAGAATACACCTAAAACCCAGGTTAGAATGCATTATAACATTTTTACGGCAGTATTTCTGGGTAAGACCTCTTTGTTCAGTGATTTTATGTTAGTCAATGTATAGGAGAGCTTTTTCAGTTTGATATCCTAATTCATAGTTCTTTTCTCCATTCCATGAGTGTTGTGTTCATCTTGGCAAGCTGCCCACTCTTTAAATAGCATTTCCCCCCCTCTTTTCTGTTGCGGCTATTTTTAGAAAGAGGGAAGTGTTAGGTTTGAGCTAGGCTTCAGTATTCATTTTTACTGTAAGCATAACTAATTTGGTAAACCGTAGTCTTGTGTAATATTGTTTGCTTTGATTTTGCTAAAATATTCAATGAGTCTATCTTTGAATATTGAGTAATCTGCTAGGTTCAAATTTTATTGAAAGCAATATTTATCATGTTTCACTGATGAATAGTAGTCACAAATTGAAATTTCTTTTTGGGATAGTTAAAACAAATTTAGAATACTTTTTTTGTTTTCTCATTGGTACATTATTGCTCTTGCCTCAGCTGATTTTCGACTGGCAAACAGGAGAGATTCCTGCACCTACATATCCTCACAGGAATTGTCGAAATAGACATACATCCTCAGAGTTGTATGATTCAGGTATGTTTCATCTCATATCACAACAATTTCTAAAATGTACTACTACTTATGATACTGGAGATGATCGCTATCTAATAATATTGTTTTATGTAATTTCTAATCCAAGCATCAGATGAAAGCGTGTCTCAAGATAACCGTCATATTGTTCCTGGAAATTTGTTCAGAGGCATCCTCTCAGAGGTTTGTTAAGAAAACATCATATCAAATAGTCAAAATTTAAACTGTGTGTCCACTTAAGTTTTTATCCATATTATTTTTGACGCTACCTTTATGTGTGGTTTGCAGGTGAACTGCTCTGTAGACCCTCAACCAACTTATCAATACCCTAGACTAAGGATGAATGGACAAGACACTGGTTCTGGAGCAACACCCTCTCTGTCATCAGAAGTGTCCTCCCACAGTGTGGCTTTGAATAATGGGACAGCCTCTGATCATCAAAACCGAAATTCAGAAAACAAGAAAATTAATGTTCCATCATCTGTACGTTTGTTTTTGTTTTCTATCCTGCTGATTCCATCCTAAAGAATTGTTTTGTTATTTTAATTTTTTACATAATTTCAGCCGGATCGAGCTCATGTAGAGCACCGTTTGAGTCAGATTCAAGATTACATAAAGCAGACATCATCACTGATTGAATCCTACAGACTGTCTGGAGTGGTAAGTCTTTCATCTTTGACACTTACCTTCTATACAAATCTGGTAGATCAAACAACATTTTTACTACCTTTCAAAACATCAACTTACAAGTGGGTATTATATGGCAAACAGGGGGCCACAGATGATTCAAGTTTTGAATTCCTAGTAGAAGTTCTTAAGGACCTTCATGATAGTGAGGCAAAACTTAAATGTTTGCTCTCTGCTTATGATCAGATCATCCAGGAAGATGATGTCAAGGTTAGACACCATGTGTTTACTCTTTACTGTCAGTTTATTTTAGGTAACAATTAATGAGAGTCAACTATCTCATATGCTGGTTGTTTGTGTTTGTGTTAGTGTGTTACTCACCTCTGAATAATATCAACATTTTGTTTCTCACTCTTAACAATTGATATTACAACTCTCTATCTAACACTAAACAGTGCATGGAATACATTTTCATGCCTATAAAGGTTGATTGTTAATGATTTCTGTATAATCTGACTTCTTTTCCCGACTTTGTTTCTGACTGCTTAGTAAGTAAAGTTTTGTTTGCTCATTCCAGAATACAAATGATGGTACAGAGGTTACAAGTCGCGGATCACAACCTCAAGAACCTCAAGTCAATGGGAATGATCATTCTGTGAATGCTGTAAGACAGTCTTTACTATGAGTCAAATTTATTATTACTTCTTGGCTTTATTATGATTGTTCTCATTTCTTTTATGTACTTTGTTTTATCAGAATGGTTCAGCCAAGTCAACAGATACCAGAAAACAAATTGAAATAAAAATGAAATTTGAAGAGTCTTTAAGACAAGTAAATAACTTGTGATAATTTAACTTTTTCTTGTTGGTATAAACATTTCCAAGGGTACCTTAATATTTTGTATTTTTATTCTTTTCTCTTTTAGCTTCATGCACTTCAAGCAGAGCAAGCATTACTTATTCAGAAGAGAAGTGAAGCTCAAGAACAGCTTCAGGAAGCTCAGAGAGCTCGGGTAGGTGTCATTTACTTTTATTAGATAACATAAAGAACCCTTTTTTGTTGGGAAACCTTTTTAATTAAATAGAAGTTCTTTCTTTCTTTAGAACATCTTGCTAGCAATGTCGAGTAATGGATGCTCAGTTAATACACAAGGTGGTAGCACTAGCGGTACTGGTTCAGAGGATCAGCCTTCAGATGCTTTGCTGAATAATCTGCAAGATGTTGATCGACGACCACCATCTATTCGAGGGAAATGCCAAGTATGTGCCTTTCCTTTCAGTCACTTTATTTTGGCACCTAATTTAACACTATGTTTCACATTTCTGTTTCTTTGTCTTTAATTACTGTCAGACTCAACCAAATCGTGAATTTCCAACTAAAAAGAGGCAGTCTGCAGACTTCCAATCTGATGTGACCACATATTGTAAGTTACATATATACACAAACATTTATTTCTTTATCTTATTGTTATTCTATTCCAAAGAAAATTCCTGCATAACATTTACTTTTTGAAAAATTCTCACATTTAAATTAATTCTAGTGAAAGAACTACTGACTGGTGATGAAGTGAAGGAACAGGCCAGTAGTGAGGACAGTGCTGTGGAAGATGCCATAGATGAGTATGCAGAAGCAAGAGCACAAGTGAGACTCCAAGGTCAAATTGTACAAGATAAAGTTACAGAAATAAATTCTCTTCGTGCTCAACTTGACCAAGCTAAAAGCCTTCTTAACATTGCTCATGTAAGTTAACTATGAAACTTGCACTCCTGGTATGGTTTTAGTGCTCTTGTCTAATCCAACAAAATTTTTTTTATTATTATTCAGAGAAGAGATGGAAGACCTCATGTGTCAGGTAACAACTCAGCTGATGAGGGTGTGTTTGATCAAGTTGTTAATATACTGCAGCAACGTAAGGGAGATGGAGACGCTGCTTCGCCAGACTCTAGAAAGTCTAAGCCTACAGTGAAACAACAGTAAGTACCATATGCTCTTTAATCTTTTGTTTGTTAAACTAGGATTTTATAAATAAATATCATTGCTTCTAGACAATTGGAACTTGAAAGAGCCAAGCTCGGTAGACTACGTGGTCTACTGGCAACTGTTCAGGAGTATCGTTCATCAGGTCTTCCTATCCCTGAACATATCCTGAATGAATTTGGAAATGAAACACAGCCTGATGTTAGCCAGGTTACGTCTCATGCTCAAGAAGCCATTCATGAAGAGGATGCAGCTGCTGAGGCTGATGTAGAAGAAGATGATGAGCCTGAGTCTGCTACTCAGTGGAATCAGCAACATCTGTCCTTAGTGGAAAGGTACATACTCAAATCACTTTTGTGTATTTCCTGTCTAATTCTTGTTTGGTGACAGTGCATTTTTTATTGTTTTGCATAGTGCATCAATGGCAAGTGAACTATCACACGGACTGCAGCAGCGTGCTGCGCAACTTCAAGTGGAGCGAGATGGCCTTTCAGCCATGCAGAGACAGCTAGATGGATTGTTCAGTCAATTGCAGCAACCGCCATCTGACAAATCTCCAGTTGTTAACCATGAGGAAACGCCTGTCAATACATCAGAGACAAGTTCATCCCCTCTTCATCGGCCTAGGAGTGCTCAGGAAACAAAGGTATGAGTCGTTTCATCAGTTATATTAAATATTATAATAAAAATAATTTTGATTTGCCCCTTCATTTTAAAAAAAATAGAGAGCAGATGAAACAGTACAGAGGAGAATGGAATTACTGTCAGATTTGCACAGTAGGTGGCAACAGCTGCAAGATGATATTGCATCAGATGGAGGTTTGTAAAGTTGTTTTTAAATATGCTTCTTAATTTTGGTTACTGAATTTAAAATTCACATACATTTACATGGCTAGAAAGCAACTAATAATATTGTTTCATTCTTATCAAGAGCTAAGTGTAAAAGCTGCCCCAGTTCTCAGTGCCACCAAATCTGCACTGAACAAACTGACGCATCAAATTTTGCCTGAGTGAGTGCTTATGAAATTCAGATTTTTTAAATTAAATGGTAAATAACAAGTTTTGTTAATAATCTTCAAAAACTTTTATCCCCCTTTTTTTTGAGTAGAAATAATGTTATTGAGGACAATACATCAGAAACTACATGGTAAGTAAGAGCCTCCCTCTCAGCAGTTCTTAAAATATGTGTGTATTTTATGCAGAACAGGATAGAGGTTTTAACTTATTGGTATAATTATTCTCTTGGCAGGGACCAGGGATCACTTGTCGGAAGACGCCAGACAACACCACTGAGAGGTGAACTTCCTCCACAAGCCCTGTCTCAAGAACGCCAATATTATGATGGTAGCCAAATGTCATCTGCTCCTAGCACTCTCATGAGAAGGAGATCACCTTCTGATGTTATTAGAAATCAGCGAGCTGTGTGGAGCTCAGCAAATGACGAAGAAGCTCGTGCTTCTTTAAACAATACAGCAACTTCTTTGAGATATGCAGGAGTTCCATCAGAGGAAAACCCACCAATAATCAGCATGCCCTCACCATCACCTAGTGTTCTTCAACATCAACAACAAACTCAAGAGGTGCTAATCCTATGAAATGTGAAAGACAAAATCGATGACATGTCCATTTTGTTTTCAATTTCTCTCAAATTTTAAGTACAGTTTACTTATAGAAATTTTCTTTTACAGATGAAGAATCGCATTGCAGCACTAAGCCGTTCATGTCAAAGTCTTTGCTTGGATAGTGTTGAAGGTATCAATTCTTCCCCTGCATTGCCTTTATTGCCAGCCGTTGCTATCCCACCACCTCCTCCTCCTGGATCACTAAGCCATGACCGGGAGGCTTACTACCAACAACTTCTGGCAGCAGGACAGTTGCAGCAACAACAAGTCTTATTGACAGCCATCAATCAATGCTTCCACATTTTAAAATTGCAACAGCATGAGCTTCTAAACCTGAGCAATTCTGTGCACATGCTCTCTTCTGGTGCTAACCATGTTACCCCCGTGGGTGTTCACTCCAGTGTGCTCCCTGGTGTACACCCAGCTGTGAATGCTGTAAATGCTCATCAGGGTGTTCACCAAGGCGTTCACCCAGGGGTGCATCATGCCTTGCTTCAAAGTGAGGAACCATGGGCAACCCCATCCCCAGCTCCTGGTCCCCCAACCTTAAATAACCAAGTTCCTCCTGGCAACCGCACCAACAATTATTGGGACAACTTCCGCAGGTAAAAACTGTGTTTCTTAGTATACCTGTTCTTGTCGCTATAGAATTACATACTTTCCTGTAAACATGTTGTAAGTATCGTTTGTGAATGATGACTTGAGAGTAAACCTATGTGTTTGTCTAGTTATTCGCGGCAGAACCTCCTTTCAACCAGTGCAAAAAGCAACGAAGGCTTGCCTCATAGTCCAAGTCCTTTGGTTGAACGCTCTCACAACTCATTACGAAGCTCTACTCCCATGTCTGTGCCTGGCCCGTCCTCAATATCAGTTGCTTCATCAATGCCACAGTATCACACCTTGTCAACACCATCATGCTTACCTGGAGCAGGTTCAGCTATTCCTCAACCTCCAGGTCTAGCTGAACAAGGTAGTGCTCCTATGGGTGCTGTGGGACCAATGCCACCAACTACTCTGGATTTTTCTCAAACTTCACTTGTACATAATATGTAAGTTTTATTAATTCTTTTATGACCTTGTCTGATAAACTGGAAAAATTTAGTAAATATTCATGTAGTGTTGAGCCTTAGCCCCTCAAAACATCTAGAATCCTATTAGCCCTTACAACCATTCGTCTCTCAGGCACAATTTTCAAATTTATTGTAAGCAATAAGCACTTAATTTCTTTACTGAACTTTCTACAAATTGTTCTGGGCATTTATTTTGGTATTGGTTTTATGCTACGTCCCTGAAAGTGTCTTTCTTTTGCTTGGAAGAATTTATCCTGTGCTACTAAGAATTAATAAATTCCTCCCAATTTTGCTTTCCATTTATTTTACTGCTCTATGCATGGTAGTGAGTGTTACATACTTTTTATCCTTGAGACTTGGACAGATGTTGTGTTCCTTGAGTTTGAGAGTGTTTCCACAATTACCCAGAAGATAAGTTGGATTTTGTTTAACATTTGACTTTTGCTCGTTTTCAAACTTCTTTTGTGTGTATCTAACAATTTATTTCAATGAGAGCTTTGCGCATTCTATAAACTTATTCCAGTTTTGCTTCCTATTAACCATAAAACTGAAGCTGAAGTTCGGAAATAAATACGTATTTTGAAGCATTCAACACTTTTCTCGTGCACATACAGTACAATATCGGTTTAAAGTTAACTTTTGGAAAAATCATATATCTCTCAATAGTAAATAAAGTAAAACATTTATTTGTCAAACTTTATTGGTCCCCTGTCACTCTGTATTTAAAGGGAACAAGCTCAAAGGACACAACACTGTCTCCCAGGTAAGAAAATTTTTGTAGACTGAAACATTCAGGTGTCCTTTTTTTTTTCAAACATTAGCTCCGTTAGAAACACTGTTATGTTTAGTTGTTGTTATTTTTTAATATTTATTTCTTTTGGTTTCATGTTGTTTACTTATCTTTTCCAGATCACGAAACGATAAGCGCAATATCGATTTTACCGAGGGAGTTTCAGCATCCCCACGTCGGCGTCCTTCAAATGAAATAGATCATCGTACAGCCTCTAGAGTGTTGGAGGATGCTGCACTACCTATGAATTGCCAATTACTATCCCCAACATCACAGGAATTTGAAGTTCCTGCTATGCCAATTCTTAGAAATAGTGTCAGTGGTCTCCAGACTCGTCTGAGTCAAGTAAATTTGAATGCTCCTCCATCTTTTGCCAACTTGCAAGATTTTATGGATACACAGAATACTAGGCATCAATTGAACAATGAAGGTGTTCCCTTCAGTGAAATATCTACTTCTCTTTCAAATCAGCAGTTTAATGAATTTCATGTACCCTGTTCTCTTGAGAATGTACGTGAAAGCTCCCGTCGCTTAAATGTGGACTACCACAATGGAACAACTGATACAGAACCACCAAGTTCAACTGTTCTCAAGAGGAACACAGGAGCTATTAAGCGCACTTATTCTTCATCGCCATGTTCATCAAGCAACAGTACTTCTTTAAATCCTAACATTCAGCGGAACATTCACTCAACACCAGCAGTTTCTCAGTTGTCTTCAAGTAATGCATCATGTAATAGCCATTCTGAAGCTCTCTTCAAGTCATCAAAACTGCAGTCGGGTCAAGATTGCTCCAGAAACTACAATTGTTCCGGAAGAAGACCAGGTTTACCCGAAGAAACTCAGATGCCCTGTTCTTCATCATCTGTTTCAAGTAGGACAAGGATGCGGGGTATTAATGAAACTGATGACCATACCATATTCCAACATGACCATGCTGATGATACTGAACATGAAGATGCTCCTCTACTGCGATGTGTGGGATTTAACAACTGCCAAAGTTCTACAAGTAGTCAAAGTACATCTAGCCAGAACACATCTAATGTTGAACTACAGAGTCTTGGACCAGGAAAAAATCACTTGAAAGAAAGCTGTTTCCAAATTCGAAAATGTCCAAAGTATCAATCGAAATCAGGATCTAGAAGTCCTCTTTCAGATACAACTGCAGTTGCAGCTGCAGCTGTTGCAGTGGCAACTGTTTCACAGAACTCACCGTCACATCGGAATGTTCATTCTTCTTCTGGGAAATCCATGCTTTCCAACAGCCAAAGATCAGTCAACACAAATACTAAAGAAGATTACGCTGTTCTTAACCAAATGTAAGTTACAAGTACAGGCCGCCTTATTAATAGATTACCCTATTAATCTTATTTCTACCTTTCTCCATTAGGAAATTGTATTATTATTGTCTTAATTTTATTTTATTTATCTGTAGGTCTGGTCAAGGACAACTTTACGAGGAGTTGCGAGAATCAGTCTATTCAGAAATGACATCTCTAATTTCAGAAAATGGGAGTAGGTCTCACTTTTTAGTTCAGTTACTTAGAGACCTACAGCATATTAGCTCTGATTCTGTGAGACAAAGTGTCATTCAACTTATTCAGCAAGCTGTTAGTAGATACCAGGTAAAGAAAAGAAAATTTCCAAATCTTATCATATCAGTTTTCTTCTGTCTTCAAAAAACTTTTTATTTTGATCAATCTTTTAACATGTGACTTTCAGATTGACCTGAGCGTTCTTGGACAGGATGGATGTACCTTGTTTGCAGAGGACGAGGCGGAAGAAGATGAGGAAGAAGCTAAAAGAATGGAATCACAAAGGCTGGAGAGAGAAAGACTCCCATATGCTGGTGCTTGTAGTTCATCTGAACCAAAGGTATAATTTGGGTTGCTTACCACTTCACCTCTATAATACCACACCTCTACCTCTATACCTGTTACGGCGAATTCGATTTTCGCCGGAAAGAACTAAGATTCCCCAGTTTTTCATTTAATATCCATTATTTCTTGGGAGTTGAGATGTCTCTGTTGGTGGCGGCGGAAGTCCTGTTCCTCCGGGTCAAGGGCGTCACTGAGAGCAAGGAACTGGTGCTTTGGTGGAGCATATCTATCTTATAAAAGAACAACTTCTACTAATACACATACTTTCCTTTCCCAGGGGACTTCTTCAAGTACACAAGAAGGTGAAACCTTGATGCAGCTCGTACTTGGTCTCGAATTAGCAGCTGTTTTGTCTGGAAATGCTGATGAAAATTGTTCTCCTAGCTTAATTGATGATGTGCGAAGCAGAATATTTCAGCTTATTCCTATGAACCAAACTTTATCAGCCTTAAATACTCAAGCTGTAAACTCCCCAAGATCTGTTTCTTACGTCCATTCTCAAATAGACAATGTATTGGAAAGTGTATTTCTTAAGTTTCAAGGATGCAGGTAAATAGATACATTCCCAACGAGTGTTACTTGTCTAAAAACTACTCCTAGGTAGTTTCAAAGCATTGTTATCACAATTCCTTTTTTTTAGAATTGGAGATGTTAGAAATGAAATAACATCATGTGTTGTCAGTGCCCTACCAATTAAACTCATGTACCGCAGTATGGTGGAGTATTACAGCCGTAATAATATGGTATGATGAACATTTTTTTAAATCCCAAAAATTAATTTGAAACAAAAGTTTGATCTCAGGTTGGTTAAGACTGCACATTATATTTTCTAGGAATCGGAATCATTGATAAGAAGGGATGGTCCAGTTTCATTTCGAGAAAGTTCATCATCTCCTTCAGTGAGAGGTGTCAGTCCAAATCCGTTGCAGTACTCGCAACACACTTCCACTTTGGTTTGAAATATTTTTTATTTGCTCCCTTTTTTTATTGTTGTCTTGTCTTTGTTTTTATATGTCCCATCCATTAATGTTTGATGTGATGTGTTTGAAATAAATTCCAGAGTCATCAAGATGGAAGGGATGTAAGTCTATTACAGGAAGCCTCTAATGGAGACCTAGCTGAGGCAGATCAATCTCACCACTCTATAAATACTCTGGATGGGGATGGTGACTCAGAAGCTGACAGAGACTGCTCCACAGATGGGCCATTGTCAGCTTCAGTGTCAGAGTCTGCCTCTGGTTTACTCCACGTGCATGTGTACCAACTGGGTGGAGTGTCTGAAGCTATTGATTCTGAGCCAGAGGTTGAAGCTCTTCAAGAAGAAGGAGAAGTTTTAGCATGTACTTTAGTTGATCGAAATGTTTGCAGGGTAAATATATTTTTTTTACTGGTTTTCTAAACTTATTTTGATTATAAATGTCTTCAATGTAAGTTGTGTTAATACGTACATATTTTTATATACTCATTTTCTGTTTAGGATGATATGGCAGGAGCTGTTGGTGGAGCTGAAGTAGACAGAAATAATGTTGATGATGTGAGTAATGATTCAGTAAAATGTCCAGTACAGTATATGCATAACTTAATGTTTGTTACTTGTATTAATTTATCCTGTTTGTTTTATGTATGTTTGTTTGCTTTTTTAATTACCAGGTCTCAGAACGCTGGAGTTTGGAGCAGGATCAAGTAAATGATAGCGAGAAGGAAAGAGTGAGGGAACAAGGTCTTGACCAAGTTCCTACTAGACTCGCCTGTGATAGTGATCGTGATCAAGAAAATGGAGAAAAGCACAGGTCACATCACTTGGCTATGCCTCCACTTGGTATGTTGTAATTATGTAGGTGTCTAACCTGTACAGAATTTAAAAGTAAATTAGAGTCAATTCATATGTTGTGTTTTTAGATTCATCTACTTGAGGCTGTCAAACTTGGAATATAGTGCCTTCCATATTCAGAGTGTGATTTGATTTAACCCCGTAAAGTGAATAGCAGTGAAGCAGCAGGATTTCAAATCAGCCTTTGTCAGAATTCATATGTATACCCTTTCCTTCTAAAACTGGCTGGGAGTTAAGTTTCTTGATCTGATCATTCATGTATGTATGCTATAGGTAATTTCTTACTTCTTGTCACTACAGTGTAGTAGGACACTTGCCATCTTTAGTCATTTGTTTTTTAATGTTTTGTAAAACTAATTTTTTTCTAATGAATTACTGTCGTCCCAATTCTAGACTAGGCACAATATGGTGCTCCACTGTTTTACAATCTTTCTTTTTTTTTTTTTTAACTTTTTGACAGATTGTTTAGAACAAGGTGTTTTGTAATAAAAAGTAATAACAGTTGTTTATTTTTGCATTACTTTTGTTTATTTTCAAAACTTACACTTCAGTCTATAAAATTCCAACAAATTCCACACATTAGTCCATTATCCAATGCTGCAATTAATGCTTTAACATCATTTTAAATATGGTGAACATTCATTACAGTGCAGTGACAGTCTTACAGTTCCATAAGAGTTCTGATACAAATTTTCAAATTTTGGAGAAAGAAAAAAAACAAAACAACAACAAAAACATACTTGGAAACTTAGCATATTTTTATCATTTGTGTTTGGTCTAACATACAGATTAGTAGTACCGATAACTCACAGCCTTTTTCAACAACAACTAAAAAAATATTCAATATTTCGATAAACACAATATATGAAAATACAGATTTCTTGGGAGATAATCCCATTACTAAAATTATGTGACAGATTTTTCACACTTATCATCTTGGATGTCTTACTAACTAATTTGTAAAAAATATCAGGTACAATGTTATACAATAAAAACCTCTGAAGATCCAGTAGGTAAGGGTAGCTTTACTATGTGGTGTGCTCCATCACTGGTCAAATAAAACAAATAAATTTTGAGTGGTATCTTTCTGATAAATAGAAGATTACAGCCTTGCTGAGCCACCTAGAATGACAATACTGAAAGAAAGCTCCAAATTGTAGTGAACTTTGCTGATAGGTAGTAATTCACAGTACAATGAAGAAAAACTATAGAAGGTTGTCTAATCATGGAAATCCAATCAACATTAACCAGTACACACAAAATCAGATCTGGTGCTGTGGTCAAAATGACAATTGTTTTTAATGATATGGGTTTGAAAATGAAATGACTTATTTACGAGCGATTCTTGTTTTCAGCAATAGCACATCTATTTCAATTTTAATAGCTGAGTTTTTTGGACACCTGCAGAGAAGAGAGGGAAAAAACAATTTTAAGTTAAACATGAACTTTTAAACTTATGCATTGTTTCATGTCTAGAAGAATCAAACTTACTTGTTCATAGACTGTCCATGTTGTAGCAGCCATTAAAGATCTTCTTAAAATTCTAGGTGATAAACCTTTGAAGAATCCCAAGAGACCATATTTCTGAAAGGAAAATTGAATACTACATTTAGTATTTTGAAAATAGGAATAAATAAATAATAAAGACCTTCATAAACAATCCATACCTGGTAGATATAAAATATGACATCATGTAAGGATGCAAATGACTTGGGATAAAGTTGCATTTTAGTTTTGATAACATCAGCAGGTTGAGTAGCAGCTGAAGCTAGTAACCCAGCAATAATACCACAACTATAATTTACAATAGGGTGTTTTTCAACATGTCCCCCTGAGAATACAAACAAAATTATAAGGATTAGTAAACTAGTTTTACAATTGATTTGAATCTTTGCAGCATGATAATCTGGCCACATACCATGTGTAGCTATTGTTTTTGCTTGAGTGTAAAACATAAGGTAGATTCCAGAGAAGGGTGCATCTCTGAGCAATGTAGGAACCAGACCACATGTTAGACCTCGAATGCCTTCGGTATGGTAGATACTTCTGACAGCATGGACCATACTGTTGTATGCATACACACCACTCTGAGAACAAGAAACAGGTAAGTAACTGGTAAGAGACAGTTTTCTGCAGTAAGTTAAGGAGGTACCATAAAACAAAGAACATACCTCATAACGTGTCTTGACAACTGTTATTGGTATCAAGCAAACTCCACTAAAAGATCGTGCTACAATGCCAAGAGCAACTGCTTGCAGTGGTCCTGGTTGTCCATCAATAAACTCACTTGACAAAAAATTTAGAGAGGAAAAATAGAGCCCAACACCAGGTACACATCTTGCAATTGACTGAAAAAATAATTGAAAACAGTGAATAAGAAGGAGAAAAGCTCCCATTGAAAACCATAGATCTGAAAATTGTGTTTTTACTTACTGGAGTTACACCTCGCCACAAGCCACTTAGCTGTTCCTTTTGTAGTATATGACCCATACACGATATAACTGAGCCTGGCCTTAACAGTGTAGAACTCCCTCCAGCCAAACTGGGAACAAAATAAGATGTCAGCGAAATCTATATATTAAACAGAATGCTCTGTTGCAAAAGTTTGTGTGAAACTTGGTAGATTGTTGATTACTTACTTTGTGGCAATAGGCACACTGGTTTGTAATCTTGTCTTAACAAGATCTAATGGCTGGAATAAGATAGCTGAACAGGTACCCGAACATGATCCGGCAATAAACGCCTTTAAGGTAGACTGTAACCATAGGTAAATTTAAATTAATTTCCATTTAAAGAGGAAATATGCTAAGGAACAGTTTCAAATATTTATAGTTTAAACGGAAGGTAATTTTACTTACATTTGATGAATCCATATTGATCAGCCAAAAGGTCTTTAAAGTGATTTCACCTAAGAATGCATGAAGGTCACAAGTGACCAAACAAGGTGGGCTGCACTGTACTATGTAAGGTGGTGGAACACTCGAGGTTGTCAACCATGCGGTCAAAATGTTTTGAGGGTTTATAGATTAAAACACACGGCGTTAAACTCCTAGCGAGTCTTCGAAACTTTTCTTCAGATGCGGCAGTGATAGGCGTAGCAGAAAGGCCCTCTAGCAGAAGGATCTTCTAGGAGGCGGAAGGTTAGGAGTGCCCCAGAGAGGCTCGTTCGACAGTTCTGATGACACCACTTTTATCCAAGAGAAGGAGAGGCGCGAGACATGTGGTCGCGACGGCAGCCACCCAAGGAGTGTCTTCAGAGATCGCTAGATTATCAGCATCCCTACTGAATCCGCAACCCGCCGCCAGCTGTGTGTCGTGTCGTCTGCACCGAGGCGTTGTTGTCGTCGTGTTTGCTCTCGAAGGTACGCGGGAGGGGGAAGGGAAAAGTAGAGGAGGGGGGGGGGTGACGCGCTAGGCATGTTGTTTAGTTCGCCGTTCGCCGGGGGGCCACTACACTACGTTCCGCACGTGATGGAGGTAAACAAACGCCGGGGCCCTGTTTTCAACAATTATTCAAATGCAACGATCCATTCGACGAATAATAATGAGCGCTAGTTGGCCCTGCTGTACACGTTTGTCAGCTCGAGCTGATATAGGTTCCGAGCTTTGCACCACCTACCTTACGTCACTTGTTGATCCGTGGTTGTCCTATGCGTTCCCGGAAAGTCTTCCACGTCCACACCACGATGTTCTTTTCCTGCAGATACCTTTCAAGTTCTTTACCCAACTTTTTGTTGTTGCTTTTTCATGGTCCATAAGGGAGAGAGGCAGGGCGATGTTTACTCGTAAGGATGGGCTGTTTTGTAGACTTTGGGGTCGGTTCAGCGGGCCATGGTCAACCTCGGCGGATGCACCAGATTTTTGTCCTTTAGTATAAGTATACATAGCACAGATGACCGCCATACGTGTTATTTTGTCACTCCCACAGCCGATTCCGAGATGTGCCTCTGCTGACCCCCCAGCCAAGTTCGCAGGGGGCCGTCCTCTGGAGGCCAGCGGGGGCATGCGGAGTGCACGTGCTCTGTGGGGGGGGCTGGCGCTTGAGCTTTTGAGCTTGAGATAACCCCCCGGCGGCACCCGGTGGCACCCCCCGCAGAGAGGCGAGGCTCGACCCGATGCACTTATCGCATCGCCTCCGTTTGACGATGACCGCCGCGAGAGGAGAAAATAATGATGGAAAAACAAACAGATGTGAGTAAAGTTTGCCGTTCTAAACGAGGGGCGCAGATAAGGCGCGCGGGATCCTGCTGATCCAGAAAGTATCAACTCTTTTCTTGGGATGACACAACCGATGTGTTGTTATTACTCATGTGGGTTTCCGAACTATTATTACAGATCCATTCTGATGCGCGGGCGGCGCCGCGTCTTCCGATGATGGTCCATTGTGTCCGAGTGTGTCAACTGTCGTCAGCTGTCGTCAACGCGGCCGACCTTTAGAAAAACCGGAGGATGTTTGGCACTGTTGATCGGCTGCTCTGCGCGGGGTGAGTTGTTGAGCAAGAGAGGCGATGGTGGTGGTGGTGCGTTCGCAAAACAAACAGTGCAGAACTTGTTGGAGGGTTCTCATCATATCGTCGAGCCGAACAAGAGTTGGTTTGGTTATGACACAAGCCGCGGCCTCAGCTGCACTTTTGCGATCGGGGCAGAGACTTTGTTTGACACAGGCAACACATAGTTGTTGGGGAGGCGGAGGCGGGCGGCCGAGGGGGATGAGGGGGCAGTGTACCCGAACCAAATATAGTATGTTTGCCCTGGTCACTCTCGACCCGAGGTGAAGGGACGGGGCGCGGGCCGCATGGCAACGCAGATACGATACGGCCCCGCGGCCCAGCGGCGGCGGCCCGCCCCCTGCAGAGCGCTGCTGCTGCAGCGGTGCCGGGGGAGTGCCCCAGGTCACGGCCCTGGCGATGACACACCGACCCCTACCCCGCCCACGCGCGTCGCCTCTCATTGTGCTTATTTTTCGGTCCCCCCTTGTTTTCTTTATTTTAGCTGCAACATGTGTGTGTATAAATATAGTTCGCATTCCTCTTGTTTCCGACCGAGATATGGGGGGGCTCTGTTTCGCACCGGTAGACACTGGCTGGCCGGTGGAGACTTGCTGTGTTCATTGGCGCTCGCTTGCCCGTCGTGGTCCCCGGCCGTGTTTAGTTCGCGAGGGCCCAAGGGGTCGTACCCCCATACCGCGTGACTTTTAGGGTGGGATACAAATATTATGAGGCCCCGAGGGGTCGTCAACTCTCCTTGGCCGTGTACGGAGGAATATTGAATATTACAAATAATAATGGTAATATTGAGCCAATTTTCAAGCTGTGACGTCATAATACTAGAAAAATTTGTAATATCGAGGTAGTATTACCAGTAATATGACTAATATTGGTGTAACATTTGAGGTAATATCAGTCCGTGTACGGAGGAATATCGAAGTTGACGACCCCTCGTGAGGCCCTAAAAGGATCAGGAACGTCAGTCGAGTCCATTGACACCGTAATATTTTTACCCCGGGGGTACAAATATAATGGGGTCTCTATGGACTCCAATGATGTTCCTGATCCTTCTTGGACCCCATATAATATTTGTATCCCCCCTAAAAGTCACGTGGTATGGGTACGACCCCTATCGCGAACTCCCTTACTGAGTCCAGCGTGGCGCCCCACTGAACGCCGTGGTCTGTGGAGGAGCACGACAGTTTGCGCCCTCGTCGTCAAAAGTGAGGCCAGATCCCCTTTTTTCGGCGCGCGTGTGTCTGTAGAGGGGGGGAGGGGCTGCTGAGAGCTTCGCCCTCACTCCTCTCCGCATGCCCATGCTAGGCCATGACCGGGGTCATCTCTGGAAGTGCGTCGCCCCCTGACCGACCGTGCGTTACATGACGGCCTGGGCCGTCCCCAATGCAGCCAGATAAGGGTACGCAAAATTTCTCACGTATAGTCACAGGTGCACTAGCCTGCCTAGTAGGCAACACCTCACCTCGACAAGTTGTATGGATGTATGAATAGTTGTTATGGTAAAATTAATGCTCAAAAGTACAGATGTAGGATTTTAATTTTTTGTTTTCTCAACCGTTCTCAACGGCATTCTACTTGCGTTCATGAGGTTCACGAACATTATTTAACGTTATACTTTGGCTGGAGTCCACTTCCCCTTGAATTAACTTTCATTCGGCATGTCGCTTTCGAAGCGAATCTAATCTAGTCTCGTATGGGTTTGTCCGGGTCTGTCGTAATCACAACCGCAGGGGATCGTCATCCACCCACATCCTCTGACCGCCGTGAAAAATATCGTCGTCAACTTACAACATAATTTATAATTAATATTTTCCAAAAAATGTTGTACATTTGTGACACCCCAATTTTGCTCGTCGATGAATTCCAAGGCGATGCGTAATTTTACCATCTTGAATTGTAATTTTAGGACACGCGACACGCTTTGTGGAAAATTTTCCCATTAAACCTACAACTATTTTTCACAGTGACCGCAGCTTCCCACAGCGCCAGTTACTCCCTTATGCTCCACGCGCGACACGGAAACAAATTGAAGTTGGACATAATTGGGAGATGCGAGAGATCGCCTAGGGGAGCCGCAATCAGGGCGCGCGCTGGCGTTTTCGTCCTTTTTTTCACGCTCGTTTCGGGTCTATTGGAATACCCCATTCGCCCGAATGGCGCTTCAACTGCTTCGGCTCGCGGCTTCGGGACCGTGTGGTGCATGGGCGGCAGTGGCTGTTATCGCAGACTGGCCGAGCTAAAGGCCGAGCCGGCGATGACCACCCGGGAGGCCACCACCACGACGGTGGCCGCGGTCGGAGACACGGACCCCCAGCGGAGCGGGATCGTACGAGCCGGCCCTTATCACCCATGTGAAGTGAACCGCCTGACCCGGCCCCCCGAGCTGACCTCTTGACCCCAGCGCCGCATGCGACAGCCGCGCCAGTAGTCCCCCCCGCCGGCGCGCCCGCGTGCGCGCGCACCGAAAAAATGAAATGGAAAAAAACGAATTGTAATAATGAGAGGGAGGAGATGAAAGTCGTTGCGAAAACGCGCCAACTGATCTGCTATCTGGAAGAAAGTTTACAGTACAGTGTCAGCTCGCTGTGTGTGTCTTTGATAACGGCTGCTATGGGCGCCCACGCGGGCGGGGCGGGGGGCGGAGGCTGCGCGCGCGCCGGGCGGCCAGGCCGCCCATGGCGCCCCGACGCGCGATGGGCTGCCTACCCGCGCGTCCGCAGGCGCCTGGGTGCGGCCCGCAGCGTCTCAGTTCTCTCTCCTCTCTCTCAAACTTTCATCCTCTTTTCTTTTTCGGCCTAACTTGTAAAATTTTATCCCACAATACATGTGTGGTCACGTGGGATTCAACATGTTAAAAGTGGTGCTCTTCTTTTTGTCGCCGATCTCCGGGTACAAAGTCGCTGCGCCAGCACTTGCCGAAAAAACAAAACAAAAAACACTTTACGTATTAACTTTTCTTCTCACTTTGGACAGAGAGCTTTCCGATTGGCTGAGAGGGAGCGATTTATCCTGTACGCCGTAAACACCAATAATTGAGAAACTGTCATGCGTATAGGGCGAATGGGACGTAAAATGAATGGGGATCCACATATGTGTGGCAGTAATCACAACCAACAAAACTATGAGGTTTCAACCCGGCATTCGCGAGTTGTGGAGCACGGACGAGTGCAGACTCTGAAGCGCTACGGCAACAGCGCTTCTGTCGAGGTTCTCTTATTTCTTGTGTTGATGAATGCAAGACTAGAATGTGGACGGTTGGATGTATGGATGGATGGCTGGCTGGATGGATGGATGACCTGACGGAGCAATGACAAGCCGAGGCATCCAATCCGCTGCCTCGGGACAGGACTCAGGCTTGTCAAACGGCGAATAAATGAATGTCCCTTCCCCCTCCACCGCCAACCCCTTCCCTTCTTGATGCGGTGCTACCGCCGGCCGTACCGGACATAGATGCGGTACAGGCGGACGGGCCGAGCCGAGCCGAGCGCCGCGCCGCGTCGGGTGAGGTGAGTTCGGAGCGGAACCGAAACCGGTCTGTCTGACACACTGCCATGATTTCCTTACACACACACTCTCGCACGCACACACACTCACGCACGCACACACCTGCGCCGCCGGCACGCACACTGGCGCACATGCACATGCGCGCGTCTGTGCGTCGCTGCCGTGTGTACCTGCATTTTGCTACGTCTTGTTATATATTTATCTGGTGCTTGGTGTAAAGTGAAGCCTCTTGCCGTCGCGTTGCAGTTTCGTGCCGCCTCTTAAATAAATTCGGTTCGATATGAAACTCGTGAAGACTTTATTCTCTGGCGGCGCAGCCCTCGGGCCGCAGGGCAGGCAGGGGCAGGGCCGCG